GGAGGCAGGAGGAGGAGGTGGAGGAGGAGGACGAGGACGAGGACGAGGAGGAGGAGGAGGAGGAGGAGGAGGAGGAAGAGGAGGAGGAGGAGGAGGAGGAGGAGGAGGAAGAGGGGGGGGAGGGAAGGAGGGAGGGAGGGAAGGGAGGGCGGGTGGCGGGTGGGCGGGCGGAAGACAGGGAGGGAGGGAGGGAGGGAGGGCGGGAGGGAGGAGGAGGACGACGACGACGAGGGAGGAGGAGGAGGAGGAGGAGGGCGGAGGAGGAGGAGGAGGAGGAGGAGGAGGCCGAGGAGGCGTGCTGTATGAAGTCTATGCATGTTCATGACTTTCATTAAGGTGCATGCGGTGATGCCAGTTGTGATGTATGAGACAAATGTATTTGACTGGCCCCTTGGCCATTGTATTGGTGTCAAGTCTTGTTGTACCGTCTGGATGTTTGTGTTGGACGTGGGTTATTCATAATTGGTTAGCTTGTCGAAGAGCGTTAACTGTGTGCTCTTGGCGTGTGGCATTGATGCATGCTATTCGTGGACGGCGTCGGTGTATGATATGTGTCGAATAGTGTGGTGTACTGTATTGATGTGTGGCACTGCTGCACGTTATGATGCACATGGTTGACGTATCCGTTGTGTAGTGGCTTCTGTGGTTGACGCATGTTGCATATGTATAGTACTGGTATACCGTGTCCATGCTCGTCATGTATGCACGTTCTGGGTGTCTGGGGGCACCGTGACGCCCGTCATGGTTTTGATGTGCGCATGCGATATTTGTCCTTCATGCGGTGTGCAGGGCTGGCGGGCGGGAGGTTCGGGAGTCTCGGCTGCCTTGAGGCCCAGCGGCCGTGGTATGCAGAGTTAGCGGGCGGATGTTATTGAAACTTCATGTAATCATTTTAGAACGTTTATGCCATGTTCAAACCTCCTTTAATCATCTTAAGCCTCAGTTAATCATCTTATGTTATGTTTAAACCTCATTTAAGCGGGTTAAAACCTACCAGCCTCATTTAATCATGTTAGGAAGCACTGCGCCCGGGACAAGAAGCAGATGGGGCGGGTCTCCCCAGAGAGCTCCGAAGGCATCCGGCCTCCCGAGAGGCTGCCCGCGCCGTCTCCGAAGCCGCACGGGGCTTCCCAGGAGCCCTCCCGCCTGCGAGGAGCCCCGCCGCCTTCCGTGGAGGTTTGCCCCCCTCTCGCTTCTCCCCCTCCTCCTCCTCCTCACGCCTCCTCCTCCTCCTCATCTTGCTCCTTCCTCCTCCTCCTCCTCATCTTGCTCCTCCTCATCAGCATCAGCATCAGCATCAGCATCATCATCATCATCATCATCATCATCATCATCATCATCATCATCATCTGCATCATCATCTGCATCATCATCATCATCATCATCATCATCATCATCATCATCATCATCATCATCATCATCATCATCATCATCATCATCATCCTCATCCCATTGCTGTTCTCCTCCTCCTCCTCCTCCTCCTCCTCCTCCTCCTCCTCCTCCTCCTCGTGCGACGTCCTTGCCTGCCTCCTCCTCCCGAGTGACGTCTGGTGCGCGGCCTCCGGGGGCCGCGGGTGGGCCCGATCTGGGCGCGCAGGCCGATGCCCGAGGGGGGGGGGGGCACTGTGGGCCCTCTCGGGGATGGACAGTCCCCCGAGGTACGCGCGCGGCGTCTGCGCCACCTGCCGCCAGCTCGTGTGGCTGAGCGAGGCGGCGCCCGCCCCGGACGGCGAGGGCGGGGCGCCGAAGGACCGCCGAGGGCCACGAAGGCGGCATCATGTGACTGCATGTGCTTGTGTTGCGAATGTCGGAAGTTCGCGGAGGTCCCCAGCACGCTGCGAGAGGAGGAGGAGGAGGAGGAGGAGGAGGAGGAGGAGGAGGTGGAGGTGGAGGTGGAGGGGAGGGGAAGGGGAAGGAGGAGTTGGAGTTGGAGTTGGAGTTGGAGGAGGAGCAAGGGCAAGAAGGAGCAGCAGGCACTGCATGAACAGGAGGGTGAAGGGGACGACAAACAGGAGAAGGAGGAGGAGGAGGAGGAGAAGGAGGAGGAGGAGGAGGGTGAAGGGGACGAGAAACATGAGGAGGAAGAGGAGGGTGAAGCGGACGAGAAACAGGAGGAGGAGGAGTAGGAGGAGGGTGAAGGGGGATGAGAAAGAGGAGGCGGAGAGGATGGGGAGGTGTAGAGGAGGTTCAGGCCGAAGCTGCCCCCCCAGCTACTCTCCCACCTTGGAGCCCCCTAATCTTTAGGCCACGCTGGCCTCCCTGAAAAATTTCGGAGCACTTGGGCAAGGGCAGCTCTAGTTGCACCCAAGATGTGAGGGGGAGGTGGAGGAGCAGGAGGAGGAGGGCCAATAGCACGAGCATGAGCAGTTACATATCCGCGTGCTTGATGCTGCGTATCGGGGTCCACAAGAGGACGCATCCTCGTCCTCCTCGTGCAGGCGCTGCCGGCTGAACCTGAGCCTCCCAGCCCGCACTTGCGGCATCTGCCTCGAATTGATGA